GTGACTTTGAATGTGGCATGGTTGTTGGAGCCAGACTGGTGCTCTGAGCGTTTCAGAAACTGCTCATCTACTGGGATTTTCCTGCACAGTCACCTCTAGAGTTTACAGAGAAATGCCTGAAAAAAAGAGAAAATATCCAGTGACCAGCAGTCCTCTGGATGACAATGCCTTGTTGATGTCAGAGGAGGATGGCGAGACAGCTTCATACCAATAGGTAGGGAAAAAAAACTCCAACAACAATGTATGCAGAAGAGCATCTCTGAATGCAAGAGACATTAAACATTAAAGTAGATGGGCTACAGCAGCAGAAGACTACACTTGGTGCCCTTCCTGTCAGCTAAGAACAGGCATGGAAAACGTTGTCTGGTCTGATAAATCTCCATTTCTGCTGCAACATTTGGACAGTAGAGTCAAAATTTAGTATAAACCACATGAAGGCATGGATCCATCATTCCTTGTATCAGCAGTTCAGGCTGCAAGTGGTGTAACAGTGTGAGGGATTTTTTTTCTTGGCCCACTTTGGGCCTCTTGGTACCAAATGAGCTTCATTTAAACACCACAGCCTGCCTGCGTATTGTTGCTGACCATGTCCATCCCTTTATGACCACAGTGTACTATTTACTAAAGGACCAAGCTCAAATCATCTCAAACTGGTTTCTTGAACATCACAGTGAGTTCACTGTACTCACGAGTCATTCAATCTCAATCCAGCAGATTACTTTTGGGATGTTTTCAGCACTACTTTGAATCTGTGCAAAGAATTAAGGCAGTTCTGAAGGTAAACGGTGGTTAGAAATCAGGGCCAGTAGTGTGTTTGCCGTTTATAGGATATATTGATCATCATTTCACCATGCTAACTTTTATCTACAAGCAAGCCTGAGACAAAGACTGCGATTATGACAGGAAAAGAATCTGGTGTCCTCTCTAAGGCCTGTGCCTGACCAGCCTGTATTTAAAAACTGATTTTCCTATGGTGTAGAAAAGTCTCAAGTGCCCTGCCTTGAGTTCTTTCTCACTCGTTAAACTTTGGGGTTGGGACAAAACGTAACTGTGGCATAAACAACTTTAAGTTCACACATGCAGCTTCTTTCGGTCACTTTTCACCCCGTTCACCACCTGCTGACTCTTTCACTCTCAGCCACCAACTTCAGGCAAATTAAGAGAATAAACAGAGTGTCCTTGGGTCCCCAGAGTCTATTCATCTTTCTTTTTCCCATTACAGCACACTATGGCTGGCCTGGCAAGGTGCCTAGCAATCAACAATGGGTAACCAGCAGACACCCGCAAGTATGTGGCCTCCACTACAGCGGGATAAATGTAAAATATGTCGGCGCTAATTTGGTCATATTTACCACGGCTATATGACATGTTGAGATTAAATAGTGATGTGTGGTTGCTGGCTTGCCCTGGTAACAATAGAAGCCCCTTTGGGAGAGTCCAACCTGCACATAGAGGTTATTTATCATGTGTACAAGTCAAGGAAAATAACCTCATATATCATTTTTTACTTTAAATTAACCATAGAGGCATTTGCGTTTCACTGAGTGAGCAACAGCTGGGACGTAAGCAAGAGCAAGCGAGAGCTGTGGGTCAAGGCCATATTTTGATAAAACAGCTCAAATAAACTTTAGTGAGTGGGAGTTCTCATTCTGCCAACACCATGGTGTTAGTACAGCAGACTAACTCACAGAAGGAATCTGATCGGAGCAATCATAAGAGACTAAAAGGAAACATGAAAGAGTTTAGGATGGCAGCTCGCTGTGTGCGCCCAATCAGTAGCACACGAGGCTGCAGAGCGTCTTTCTTTTAAGAAAGAGTTTGACATTTAGTGTAATTTGCCTGTTTGCTCTTATGCCAGAAGTTCAGAAAGAAGATTGATACTCATGTCTATGGAAAGACATCCCTTGCCATGACAAGTAAATGCAGGGGGTACTTTTACTGTGAAGGGATAGATTTAAACCCAACCCACAATATTTTGCTAACCCAGCAGTGTTTGCTACCTAAGCCTAACTACACAGTGAGTTAAAGCACGTAAAGCCCCCAGAACAGGAAACAAACTGCAACCTTGATGCATTTTATGAACTTGGATCTCGCCTGTATTGATGCCAACTGCTGCTTTATAAAAAAGGTGCAATCAAAAAGTTTTTCCTATAAAAAGATAACAATGTGCATTTCCTACCCCCTTCAAGGTTGTGTCCTTGGGAGGTAAAACACTGCTCCCAGTACTCCTCAATCAATCAATCAATCAATCTTTATTTATAAAGCACTTTTCATACAAAAAATAAATGTAGCACAAAGTGCTTTACATGGTTAAAAGCAGCCCCCCCCCACACACACACACACACGCGCACACTTAAAAAGTAAAATTGGACTGGGTACGCATGAGCCAAGTGAGGAAACACTATCATGGGGAGCCGTCTGCACCGGAAGCCGGTCACAGACCGCAGCCTCCAGGCTGAGCACACAGCAGGAGGGAGGCAAAGAAGCCCCCCAGCCAGGCTGAGAGGACCTGCTGCATTTCAATCACTGCCAATATATACAGGGTGTAATAGAAGGCAACAGGAAAAATGAAAACAGTTTTTGTTCTAGGGAAACATTTGTTATATAGATATAGGTTAGTTCTGCTGCTGTTGTGCATTTTAAAGTGGGAGTCTACAGAGACTTGCTCTTGGAACCAGCCCAAGTGGCCAACAGAGGAACTGCAGTTATCTTTGTTTTTGAGCCGCGGAGCTTTCAGGTCATGTAAGTGCAAACCTGCAGTGGTCTCCTCTCAAAAAGGATGCAGCTGTCGGCAGACTGCTGACTCTTTGAATTTATCTGTTTTCTCTTTCTAAGGTAAGATATCTCCTGCACGTCTTCAAAGAGATAGCCTAGTATCTTTTACGGCTAGAGGTGAAAGATCGCCTCATGTCTGTCTTGAGGTCAGCGTACAAATCCTCCTGGGCAACGAGGTCAGCTACAAGTATGCGGCTTCTCCTTTCAGTGGATGTACTCCCTGTGGACAGAATAATCGTGTGTGTGTGTGTGTGTGTAGGTGTGTGTGTGTGTGTGTGCGTGTGTGTGTGTGTTATGGGTGTTTAAAAGCTGGAAGTTCAATCATTGTCATGGGAAATTACAGGAAAATCTCCTGCCACTGGCTGATTTTAAAGTACTGTCACACACACTCATACAGAGCACTTCATAAACACCTCAGCCTGAACTTATATCTAAGTTCAGCTGTGCATGGCCGGATCATTTTCACCCATAGTAGACCATCTGAAAGAGCTCTGTCTCGCAGGCGACACCTCTGTCTGTTTCCATGCTGTGACCTCTTTGTTCCTTTGTCCATTTTTACTGTTGCCCAGATGAAAAGTTGGGGGTGTGGTGAGATGGGGTGATTAAAGAGAAATACTCTTATTTTGAAGGTTGTCTCCATTTGGTTTCATGAAATCATGACTATAATAAAAGATGGGAGGACTTTCCAAAGAGCTGTCAGTTCACAGAGCCAGCAGGTACTTTCTACTCTGGGAACAGACACACGCAAGCAGCCTCCACCGTGGGAATATATGCATGATTTATATCCACTGTGGCCATTACGCAAGGCTGCAGCCCCCACGGGACGAGCTATTTAACCAGTGTAAAAAATTGGATTAATTATGTTTGCTTAAAATGTTCTCACTTTAAAACATCATTTCCAGCGATGAGCAGGCAACTCTGACTCATATCTGACCATCGGTGCAGAACACCAACAGTCTGTCTGCCATCTGAACCAGCAATGATTTGACACCTGAGATGCTTTTTTTTTTAACAGCAAGGCAAAAATATGAACTTTTAATGTGGTCTGTTTTCACAATATTTCATTTTTTCATGGATGTCTTCTAGATTTACACCCCTGGGCATTAAGAGAGCAGCCTGTCTTTTCAAGAAAGAGAGCCTCAGGTGTGAAGGAAACTTCTGCTGCCGGCCAAGGCGGAGCAGTCAACCCGAACTTACTGGACCATTTGTAATAGACCAATTTGGCTTTTTCTTACACTAGCAGAGGCGGAACAAACTCTCCTGAATGTCTCAAATTAGATTTTTATACATGACTTCAACTTTCCTCTAACATTTAAAAATTTAACTTCACATTTATCATCTTAAATTTGCTGTCAAAGTGTTAGTGAAATCCATAAAGTGCTGCATATGTTGATCCAAAATTTAAAAAAATATATGGGGATTTAATGAAGCTACACTCTCTGGATACTCTTATTAGATACACCCTGCTAGTACTGGAGCCTCTTTTGCTTTAGTTGTTCATGGTACAGATTCATCCAAGCACTGAAAACATTCCTCAGATACTTTGATCCATGGATCCAAACCAAAAATAGCCCCCAACCATTGTTACAAGGTAAGAGGAGATCCCTGTTGTTTACACCAAATTCTGACCCTATCATCCAAATGTTACAGCAGAAATCGAGAGTGATTAGACCAGGAAGCATTTTCCAGTCTTCTATTGTCCAGCTTTGGTGAGCCTGTGTGAACTGTAATCTGTTTCCTGTTCTTAGCGGACAGGAGTGACACCCAGTGTGGTCTTCTGCTGCTGTAGCTCATCTGCTTCAAGGTTCAACATGTCTTTCCTTTGAAATGCTCTTCTGCATTCTTTGGTTGAGCAGTTATTTGAGTTATTGTTGCCTTCCTGTCAGCTCAAAGCTGATATCTCTGACATCAACAAGGCATTTTTACGCAGAGAACCGCTGCTCAATATATATTTCTATGGCAATAGTGAACTCTTTGTTATACTTATTGTTAGATATTATTATATTTGTTATTATAATATTTCCACACCTTTTATTATAATATACATATTCTCCCCCTGGAGTCAGTAATACCTCGCAGGCTTTCACACTTCTTTGTAAAGTGGCACTTGTTTGAACCTGTCACATCTGATAGAGTTGCAAAGCGCTTGCGGGCCGCCACAGATCTACACAACACCGTGATTAGATGCCCATATGCTGCTGTGGTAAGCTCCATCTTGGAGCATCCCATCCAGGTCTGGCATTCTTTGAGTCAGAGGCTGCCAGAGGGGCGTGCTCGCAGAAAGTCAGTCCTTTCACACCAGCAGGGACACCGTTCAGCTGCCGAGATTCACCATGGCTTCATCTCTGCACCGCACACCCGTTTTGTTGCGTTTTATTCACTTGTCGTTACTGCTTGCTGGTGTTTTATGCGACCTTGAAGCAGAAGAAGATGAACATGCCAAGCACACGTACACGGTGGATATGTTCAACGAGGCGGTGCCCACTGCACCCCACTTTGTCATGTTTTACGCTCCATGGTAAGTAAACGCTCGCTAAGTTTTTCTTTTTTTTACACACGAAGTTAAGCAAATTCCCCAAAAGTACATTGTCTATGTGTTTAATACTCTAATTACTACTGAAAACACAAAAGCGTTTCTGATACTGGATTGGAGCAAACCGGCAAATTAGCAAGCAAGCTAGTTAGCACGCAGGCTAGTTAGCACTAGCTCATTCCTTTCGCTCTTTGAGTGATCTTAGCTTAGTTGCTAACTAGCAAAGCCAAAATAGCCAAGTGCAGCTGAGCGAAATGAAACGCATTTTCTTCTTTTACGCGGTCCTCGCTGTCGTTTATGCTAACACTTCGCTAGCTGCCAATATTCAATGTGAAGGATTGCAGTTGAAAGCTGTACTCAGACAGTTAAACAGCTTTTATTCACAGAGCAGGAGTTATTGAGCCACCGTTCAAAGTTGTTCTTACAGGGCTGCGCTTACGTGGCACGCACTGATTGACTGACGTTATAACAGTTGTTGCAAAACTGAGGTTCACGGTCCCCCTAGAGGTCCTTTGCCGGTAACAAGAATTCATAATGCCATTATTGTTATGCAGTTTAATTTGGTCACCATGCACTGCATAATGTAAACAGGGAGCTGACGCTAAAGGCAGAGATTATGAGATTATGTGAGGGTTTTTTTTACACGTGATTGTTTAACTTTTTCATTCATGGAGAGAGAGGTTATGTAAAAGTGAAGATTATGCTAATATGTTATGGAAATTGGTTTATATGTTGGTGTTATTATCAAATAACAGGAAGCAGAAAATATTAAAGCTGTGTGCCAGTGTCTGCATTCAGAATACAGTGTTCACATACACTGTTATGAAAATATAAACTCAGATTTCCCATAATGCATTAAATCCCCTGTTTGCCTCTCTTATGTCAAGGTGCGGCCATTGCCAGAGGCTACAGCCGACGTGGAACGAGCTGGCAGAGAAATACAACAGCATGGACGACCCCCCGGTGTATGTGGTAAAAGTAGACTGTGTCCAGGACACCAAATTTTGCTCCAATGACCACAGCGTTAGAGGCTACCCTACGTAAGTACTGGACTCACACAAGCTGCTGTCTCATATCTTGGCCTCATCAGCTTCACTTATTGATGTCCGATCGCTCCGTATTTCATTTTTGTCAGTTTTCCAGAAACACAGAGCATAACGCAGCAGCGGAAGCATTTAGGCTTAAACTCCTCTTAGATCATGGAAGTAAAAAGTCTTTTTCATCACTGATTGACAGAGGAGTGACACATTGACATGCATTTGGTCGAATATTCTGCCATTATCTTAATGGCTGAAACTTGGATGTTGCACCATGCACACTGTAACTGCAAATGCAGCAGTTTACTCCATAATCATTTACAGAATACCTGTATTTATGGTTAAAGTTATAGCTAAGATTTACTTTAACTCTCTCGTCCAGCTGTAGATTTTAAATTATAAATCTGCCATGCCACGTCTCATGGAATTGAATATATTGTCTTATGTGCAGGCTTAAGTTGTTTAAGCCCGACCAGGAAGCAGTGAAGTACCAGGGCCCCAGAGATCTGCAGTCTCTGGAGACCTGGATGCTGAAGACTCTCCAAGAGGAGCCTTCGGTTAGTAGTTTGGTGTTCATTCAGTCATAACCTCACGTCCTCAAACCAGTGCAAGACTGATGCTCATGCTTTTTGCTGCTGAATGTTTTTGCAGGAACCAGAGAGTGAACTGGAGCCTCCTAAAGCCCCAGAGCCCAAACAGGGAATGTATGAGCTCACCGCCCTCAATTTCAAGACCCACATAGCCAAAGGTAAAAATGCATTAAAAGAGATCCTGTGTAGAGCTTCAGTTAGGCAACATAATTAGCCAAGCGACTTTGCGTATTTACGCAGCTGCATCCTGCTGTAACAGATAAGCCGTTTCTGTGTTGCCGTCATTTTTGATTCTGCTTTCAGTTTTCAGCCACACCGAGTTTCTGGATCTCACATTGGAGAATGGAAACACCTCATTAACTAGATTTACATAACTGACATTTCACCACCCGAGTACCCGAGCGTTAGTCAAAGCCAGCCGACTGTAAAAACCCTCGTCTCCCATCACCTCACGTTTCTGGACTTTGAGGCAACAACTGCAAAAATAAACGCCACTCACGATAATTGTCTCGCTGAAATTACGGCTCTTGAGCTCCACTGAAGTTGAATGTTTTGGTTTTGAAGGAAAAAAAATAAATGATTTCTTGTTTGGAGATGAAAATCGGCAGGATATGACATAGGTATTTTTAAAACGGTGTTTATAGGTCCCCACCTTCACATCTTGGCAACAGGGCTGCAATAAACGTTGCTTAATTGGTTCATGTGAGCTGTAAGAGGTGTATATCCATTTACAGCAGGTTGTGTTGAGTTTGCAGTGAAATCAGCTTTCTTACGTTCATTTTCTGGACCAATAAACGTCAGCCTCGCTTTGGTAGATTTGTGTAAATGTATAAATTCCCTAAAAGCTGGTGTGCAAATGCTGCAAGGCTTTTCATGTTCTACCTTTTTCTTTTCTTCCTGCCTCAGGCGCCCACTTTATCAAGTTCTTTGCACCTTGGTGTGGTCACTGCAAAGCCATGGCCCCAACATGGGAACAGCTGGCCACCACCTTTGAGCACTCTGACGATGTGAAGATAGGAAAGGTGGGTTCAGATGTTAAAACAACAGAACAGATGGACACTTACTACAATGAAAGTTTACTTTCTTGAATTAGTCCCAGGTCCCCTTTGGGCAAACATTATTTACTCTTAAACGATTCCTGTCAGGATCCTGTGTGACAGAACAGGATGTTGATCATATGAGGAGTTAACCATTTGCATACTGTGTTATAAAAACAGCTCACAGAGCCAGTGTTTGCAGTGTTGCGACATTCCTGTTTAATAACACAAGTTTGTGTATTTGTGAACTAGGTGGACTGTACTCAGCACTACGAGGTGTGTTCTGAGAATGGTGTGAGGGGATATCCCACACTGCTCTTCTTTTACAATGGAGAAAAGGTATGCAAAAGGTTTGGGACTAGCTCTGTGTGTATGCATGTGCACAGCCTGTAGATCCCAGCGCTACACACAGGTGTTTGCTTAGGTGTTAGGTCAATAAACAGTAACTGTCAGGAAAATCTAAATATAAAAGGTTCAAATGGATGGTGCCTTAGAGACCGGCTGAGGAGTTCAGTCATTGAAGATCAGAGCAGAGCTGCTGATCCTCATCGAAAGGACCCAGTTGAGGTAGTTTGTGTATCTGACCAGGATGCCTCATGGGCATCAGAATATTTTGTTAATTCCAGATGAAATTATGTAGTCACACTTGCTCCAAAACAGTAACTAACTAGACTAAATTCAGTAATACAAAATATAACAAAATAGCTCTAATATATAAATATCTCAGTATATTGCACAAAATTGAATATAGATGAAGTTGAAATTGAGGTGCCCTTCTTATATACTGTGCATTAGATGGAGGGATTGTACAGGGCGATATCCACAGGCAGGAGTGATTTCCAGTGTAGTTCAGTGGTGCATTTGGGTAATCTCAACCTGTCACTCAATGTGCTCCTGTGACTGGCCAGCACGTCTTGGAATGGGTGGGAGGTTTTGTCTAGCATTGTCCTTATCTTGGACAACATGCGGCTCTCCGACATCACCTCCCAGCTACGTCCCCACAATGTTACTGGTCTTATTGTTGGCGCCCTCAACCTGTTGCCCCAGCATGCAACAGCATAGAGTGGCTTCATGAAATGATGGCTCCCACATTTCATCTTTTATCCCCACGTTGTTGTCGTCCGCTCTGCTATGTTCTACGCTTATTTCAATTACTTGATCAATAATCAGCGACTACTCAAGAGCACAGTGAAGTTTAAAAAGTCCATGCAGCTGTAAGGTCGCCGTTCGCTGCTCAGTTGAACCGTCAAATGTACAAAAATGTATGATTGTGGAATTTGTATAAAATAGTTGTACACACCAGACAGATGTTGGGAGTCAGTGTCATAGGCATTGTTTTAGTGTCATTCATTCCACTTGTTTAGGAGACGTGGAACATGCAAACATACATGCGCTAAAATCATTTCAGTGTGATGATGATGATTCATACTAAGCTGCTTAAATAGTTACAGAGACAAATCTGAAGGCAAGTAAAAACCCACCAAGTCAGAGTATAATCGGTCCATCAAAATGGTCTCAGAAACACAGTATATATGCCTTTGATAGCTGGCTTGAAAAAACATCCTGCTTTTCTTAATAACAGTGTTCTGTTGAGGGGAACTCGTTCGGTTCAGAGGTCATAGGAAGAAAAATAACACATTTGATGCGTACATCCAAGAAATATTCAAAATATTGTTACACTGGTTACAGTAACTCTTGTTTCTTGTCCTCTTGTCATAGACAGAACAGTACAAAGGAAAGAGAGACCTGGACTCCTTCAAAGACTTTTTGGACAACCAGCTGAAGGCTGCACTCACCGAGGAGGAAAAGCAGGAGGAGCAGAAGGAGGAACCAAAGGCAAATGAGATCCCTGCTGAAGAGCCAGCTGAAGAGGAAGCAAAGGTGGGTGTTCACAACAGAGAGGTGTTGTACTTGGATAATATTTTGGTGTCCTCTTTTGTATTTCCTGTTTTGTATTTTTAAGTGGGGGCGTTTGTGTGCCCCGTTGAACTGGTCCTCAGAGACCTTAGATACACAGCAGCTGCACATTGCAGTGATCGTTGATGCATTCAGTGGGATCCTGGCACTGTAGCTGTAAAGTTATTGTGATTCTTAAAGGGCTTGAATTGTGTATTTTTACATTACACACACAGTGCACTTCTTCTGGATGCCATTACTGAGAATCTGCAGCACATGAGCAGCAGTTATTTCCTGTTGCAGTGAAACTATTCAACACAACACATGTACACGCAGTAGTTACACTGCAGGTCTTTGAGCATGGCAACCATTCAGATTCCAGTTAGGTGAGAGACTGGCAGCTAAATTATGCCAGGATTTTGCATATCTTTTATTAATGAGATGATGTGGGCATTACTGGGGAACATAACCTGTGCACACAGTTCATAAGCTCTCACTCCAGTAACAGTATAATAAATATAATAATGCAATAATGTCGCCATGGTGAGGAAAAGCAGATCCATATAATTCCAACTTGTATTCCTGTCCTCTTTCTGTCTGTAGTCCAGTGTTTTGATCCTGAATGAGGACAACTTTGAGGAGACTGTAGCCAAAGGATTCACCTTCGTCAAATTCTACGCTCCATGGTGAGATTATTGTTTAACATCTTTCTTCATTGTGTGTTGTTAATGTCAAATGAATCATGACGCCTCAGAAATTAGTTCAAGTATTAAATAATGCTGAACCTTTGTCTCTAAGAGAGGGTTTATAACTACTAAGAGTAAGATGAGTTGGAGTGTATCATTTTTAAACATATATACGTTAAGTACCTGCAGATGTTTGAAGTAATTATTGTTCTAGTGACTAAAGTGATTAAACTCCTGATTTAAAATGTTGGCAGCCAGTGTTTGAAACACAATTTGTCAGTCAGTGAGAGTGATGTCACTCTTGTGTTATCCTGCTGTCTAGGTGTGGTCACTGTAAGAATCTCGCTCCAACATGGGAAGATCTTTCCAAGAAGGAATTTCCTGGTTTTACTGATGTCAAGATTGCTAAAGTGGACTGCACTGTTCAGCGCACACTCTGCAACAAGTACTCTGTAAGTGAACTTCTGTCCAATGCTTTGCACTCGGAGACTGTTTCTGGCGCACGTACCCTTCTGTGAGCTTTATATTTCTGCAGGATTAAGTGTGTTACAGTGTATGCAATAAACTAAAGTGGTGGATTATATCAAAGACATAAAATTATACAACTGCTACATATTTTAATTACATACTATGAAATAAAACCCTAAAGCAGATTTAACAGTCCTGGTGGTTGGTGCACACACGTTTTCAGCTTTGAGTGAAGCCATGGTTACCCAATGATGACAGTATGGTGATATTCTTTTTTTTTTTTTTTTTTTTATGTTATCCAGGTGCGCGGTTACCCCACCTTGATCATCTTCAGAGCAGGGGAGCAGGGTGATGAGCATCACGGTGGGCGGGATTTGGAGAGCCTGCACGACTTTGTGATGAAGCAGGCACGAGACGAGCTGTAGATACAGGCTAGTCGGCGCTCTCTCTCCACAACTCTACTCGCTCACACTGCATATCTGGCCAATAGGACACCACCCTCTCTCCTACAAAAGCCAGACCCCTACTCTCCCACTACTCAGTCAGTCATCCAATGACAGGCTGGCGCATTCATCTTTTTTTGGTATTCAAGTGCAAAATCATTCGGTAAGAGTGTTTGGAAGGTGATCGTACTTCTCATTGCTCTTGCTCAACCTTAAACCACGTGGCGACTGGTTGGGCCTGAAGATGAAGTAATATGTGCGACAACCACTTTGCAAGCTCTGCTCAGAACCAGAACTCTTCACAAGAATACAATTTTATTGTATTCTTTTTTATTTTATTAAGAAATGTTAAAACAGTGGCACTAAAGTTTCTACCTGTTTGTTTTTTAAATCAAGTGTTTCTGACGTCTCTGCCATTTGACTTCTTTTTTCCCCGATGCTAATTTGTGTACATGAATTTTTTTATTTTTATTTTTTATTTTTTTGAAATCGTAAGCCATTAGTTTTCTATTACTGTCACTCATGAGGCTGTAAAGGTTTGTGACTCTCCAATGTGAAGCAGAGTGTTAAGTTGAGGGTGCTTCATAGTCATGCCAGTGATGGCCTGTCTGACTTAACTCTCAGGGAAGAAACCACACAGACAGGGATGTGATGGAGAAGTCTGTGATTTTACTGAATCTGACAACTTTTTTTTTTCTTTCTTTTAATCAAGATTACCAGATCCTGACTGATTATTTTAGTGTCAGTGATCGACCATCCCTTTCTACTCCTAGCATTGGGAGTGTTAGGCCTGGACCATGCTGCCCCATCGCTCTGTTACTGATCTTTTGTGTTACTGCTTCTGTTTGGACAAGCCATCGTTGACGTGAAGTCTCCTTAACATTATTAGGATGTAAAAACGTGAATGTTTGTATTCTTCAGGCCAGGTTTATCCTTCCTATGTTAGAAGGATTTGGACACAGAAGGGTCGCTCATCGTCAGCACTGAAAGGTCGAACTGCTGCTCAGGGTGAGCTCAACTCCCATCGTATCCACGTTCTCACCGTGATTTCCATCTATTCTTACTGAAGCGACAGCCTAAGTTGAAAACACTGTATCGGGATGATTTAGACCTTTGGACACCAGAGCCATCGGCCTGAATTAAAATAGACGATGAGGTTCTGATTACAGTTAATCATTGAAGTGGGCTGGAACTGACAGCATTAAAATTCAACACAGAAATATCATCCGAGGGATTCGAAGGTGAAGCCTTAGTGAAAAAGCATTTGCAGTGTTTCAGTGCACCTTTCTGCAATTAACCGCAGTGTAAACTGCACCCACCTGTTAGGCAAATGCTCTTTGACCCAGGTTATGTGGAAAGCATGTGTTGTGTGAATGCAAGGCACCATTTATTGTTAAACCCAGGTACTCAAACAGTCTGAGACACAGCAGTTTTTTCTCAGTAAAAGTTTTTATGGATAGCACATGGTCTAAGCAACTCCAGTGACAAAGTCATGTTTTGTTTTTTTTTCCTTTTCATGGGTTAGTTTGTGCACAACCCACAGATTTTGTACAAAAGAGTGAATAATGGCAAAATGTAACATGAGATTTCGTAATAAATTTTTCTCAAAAATAACTTTGCATTTTCATTTAGCTCTTGCATCTCTGTTAATAACGTATGTGATTTTTTTTTCTCTTTTTAATAAAAGGTGCAATAAATAAGCTGAGAATGTACAAGTATTTACAAAAAAAAACTTAACATGATCACAAATGTAAACAGCAGCTTACCAGAGGTATATTTTGTAATGTATGATTGGTTAGGCACGTAAGGTTTCTTACTGGTATTAGTTTTTCATTAAAATATGCTCTAAAAGTACTCATGTCATTTAAAGCTCACAGTTACTCCGTTGGGAAGACGTTGCCACGTGACAGGTGCCAAATTAAAGGAAAAACCAGGCACTGCTTTTCAGCAAAACTGCTCGAATGCACGTTTATTTTTAATTCTTCAGCTCTCTAAAACTTAAAGAGGTGATTGATTGGTCAAAAATCTACCAAACTGGGTTGAGATCTGGTGACTTGAGGGCCACAGGCTCTATGAAAAGGGCAAAGCTGTTATCCTAGAAGCGGCCATTCCCTTCAAGATTTAACACAGAACAAACTGATCCCTCCAATGAATGCTTTAAAAGATAGTACGAGATACTCTGCAGGGTTTGAGCATTCAGGTTTTTCCATTAATTTGTGACCTGTCCATATCCGAACACAGTTTCACCCTCGGGGTTGAAAAAGCAACCGGCTAATTTCAGAACGCTGACACAAACCGTTCTGCGGGATGTTTTTTTTCTACTATTTCATGATGGGCTGTCAGGAGTGGAAGCGTTTGTTAACTTTGTGAGAGCAGCAACATGGAAATGGCCATTTGTGGTATGTCCGAGGGATAAGGCTGTATTCTTCGGTTCTTTGGAGAAAAACATCAGTTTAGCCACAACATGCATCATGTTGAACCAGCCTGGTGAATCGCAGCTCAGCCCCAGCCTGGCAAATATTGACATGGGGGAGAGGAGGTGGTGGTGTCGGGGGGGATATTTGGAGCGGTCCACTGCTAAAATAGCCTGCGGTCACTTTGGTTCAGTCCATGTTATATTTTTGGGAAGGCAAATATGGCTCGAGAAAAAAAACAGCAGAGGGGAGGAAGGAAATATGAGTGTGCTGACTCCAAAGTATCATTCAGTTTGTATTAGATGGTTTTGGTTAACAACATTTTGCACAGAAAAAAGAAAGTCGGGCTGATTCACACCACTTGGAAATATGACGGGGGTGTTAGCCCTGCAGTGTCATGTGCTGTTCATTATCTGAGCCTCCTGCGAGAACTGATGCACCTTGCTCTTTTTTTCTATGTTGGACAGAAGACGGGAAAGAAAGCAGCACTCTGACTGGTCCCACGACAGTTCAGGTTCACCCTCTCAGGGAGGGAGAAGGTGCAGTAGCCTCTCAGGCATTCATACACACACTTCAGTAAACACATAATATACAAACTTAAATGCTTAAATGCCTCCCCCCCACACACACATACACACACAGTCATTCACTCAGTTGCAGACCCATGAAGAAAAGACCCCAGTCCACAGCTAACAGGAAGGGCGGTAGACAACTTGGTGGCTCATGACTGGAACAAGGTGAAGTTGCCTATGGATGATCCACATGTGGTGGGGAATGGTGACTTGCTACTTGATATGTTAGCAGGTTTAACAATTATGGAAATGGAACACGGAAATGATCTTTCAGGCTGGACGTTCCTTTGCATGTTGAAGATTTGGGCGGGAATCCGGTGTCTACCTGAGGTCAACGTACACCCAACTTTGACTGAAGCACTACCAGTCTTCATCTGTCTGTCAGTGGCAGCCGCAGGCCCGCACCACCATGTTCTTGTATTTCTTCAGTATGACGTTGGAGTTGTCGTCGAAATAGAGCACTGAAATGGCGTGCAGCTTGGTGGGGGCGCAGCACGGCTTCGGTACGTTCTCGGGGTTCATCAGGTGCACCTGAAAATAATGAGAAAGACCTTCAGCCTCTTTATGTGTCAGAAATCCCCCACACCCTCTTTCTATTATCAGAAAAAGTAGCAATTAGAAATGGATGATAAACTCACAAAGGACAGATTTAAAAATTGATTTTATTATATTTTTAAATCATGCCAAATGTAGGATCATTTGACATTTCTTTAATGGCCACTGGAGACTGGTTATAAAATCCCCAACCCCACGTGACCCAACTTTACAGCAGATATAAAAAGGGTTTGGACTCTGTCAGTAGAGTCTAAATTAAATTGACTGTGTAGGGATGCTCTTCTTAGATCATTCAGTCACTAAAATTATATAAAGGTTGATTTAAGTGACAGGTAGACACAAATAAATGGAGGTATAGCCACTAGCTGTCTGATAGCCCACACCTTGGCTCAAAGCGTACTCACAGCCCTTCCAATAAGGTTGTGCTTCAGTCTTAGTGAGTGAAAAGCTAATATTTGAATCATTCATTACTAACCAATAACAAACATGTCTCTTTATCTGTCCACTGCACCTGTACAGCTTATAGATATAGATAGATAGCAACTTGCTAACCAAGCTGACTATCATTAGCTGATAACATAGAACTACACCCTCTCGTCTAAATATGGCTGACGTTATCAAGCTTGATTAGACAGTACCAGTTATAAATGGTACAAACTGTACACGTACACATACCTGCTAATCTTTGTTTACCTGTTATTGACAATCTCTTCCACAGTGTGTGTTTTGTCCCATCACCCCCAGCCTGGTTCTGCTGGTTTCTTTTTATCAAAAAGGACGTTTTTCCTTCCCACTGTCACCAAGTGCTCGCTCATAGGGGTCAAGCCAAGGCGCAATGATTTCTCTGTATTATTATAAAGTGTCTTGATGTGACTGTTGCTGCGATTTGTTGCTATATAAATAAAACTGAATTGAAGTGAATTAAGTTAAAGATTACTAAAATGCTAGGATGGTACTCAAGGAGCAAAAACTAATCGGATGGTCTGTCCCGCACAGACTACATTAAAAATCCTCCCAAGCACCAACAAACATGTCAGAGTGGTCCAGAGATTCAGTAACGCCAATTAGTATCAGTAGAAGCTGCTTGGCTATACTGCCTGTGCTGCCACGCTCCTAAATCCTGCATCCAACTGGGAGTTATGAAAACACAAGCTATCATCTGTACAGTTGTTTAGAACAGAGAAACTCTTCACAGAGACCAACTTTTTTGGATAAGACTGTATAAATATATATATTTTTAATACCATAAACATTTTAACATGGAAGTTTATGGGGACTGATTCCATTTGATGGCTGCCTCAGGTGGCCACTAGAAGAAGAGCAGTTACTCCATATGTAGATGTACCTCATTTGCCTCTTTTATGTTTCGACTGTCCATGACAAGTAAATTTAATGGAGTTAACTGAGCTTCACAGAACTGTAACGCTATATATTCACCGATATTTATAACCCTAAGAAGGCCACGGCGACTAGATTAAAAATACACTGTCGAAACACTCTCATATGCTCCTGTGCTTATTTTTAAAGGTCATTTAGACACACAATAGACCACTATTATATCTTGTTGCAGTGTTGCTACAACAATCCTAAATCCACAGGAAAAACTGCATAAGCACCACCACAAGGTTCTGGCAGACATAAGAGACGGGCCTAAAATGACTTCTTCTTCATTGTGTTAAGAATACACACATACTTAGTGCGGTAAACCGTAGTGGGATGGTCTTACCAGCGTCTGCACAATGGCGTGGTTGGTGGCATTCATGTGGGCATTAAGGGGGAAGGAGCATTCTCCATCACAGTAGTTGGCTGCGTAGCCGTCAGGAGCAATAATCCAGTCCTTAGAGAAACACGTGAAATCAGTTGGTTTTGGGATGAACAGATGAACAAAAATGAACATTATTATTGGTTCAGTACAGCTTCACTTTCCATGTAACCCACCTGACTGCTGTTGGTAAATTCAAAGTTAACGTTCTCTCTGAGGACAAATCCACAGCGCTGTCTGTGAAATCACTCAGAGCTAATCCCTCTCCTCCTTCCTTCCTTCCACTCTTTGTCTTACTGTTTGACTCTGATGAGGTGTCGACAGGTTATCCCCGCACTCTAATTTGTGTTTTGATCTAGTTCATCTTCCTGTCAGTGTCAATCAACCGTCTGTCTTCACCTTTTCACTCTTCTGACAATCCCTTTCATTATTTCCAGCTCCCTTCCTCTGTCTGTGTGAGTGAATGATTGCTGGCAGTCTCCCTCTAGATGTCAGTGCTGTGTTAACAGCTGGTTGCATGTTCCTCTGCCCTTCTCTTTTATTTCTTCCTCTGTATCTAAGTAAACACACACACACACTGTGATCTCCATTTAACTTTTTCTGTCGCATCCTCTCTTGTTTCTGATGTGTACTGAGTAAGTGTACTTTACAGAGTCATGCTGACAGGTTTCTTTCATTTACTACTTTATCGTGTAGAAAAACTGAGACGTGGTGTTGAAATTACACATTTTTTCTTATGTTAAAGTATCTCATGGAAAAAATAGTTATACTTTCCCACAATCTAAAGTGCCTTTGACATCCCTGCTCTGGGTGACGTCTGACTTCAAGGCCATGTATCTCACATCCCACCTCCCCTCGTCAGCTAACGGTTTACCTCCCCACCACCACCAGTGCATAAACTCTGGGGCGTTCATGCGACTCCACTCCATAATTTAGCTACTCATACTTCTCTTTTCGTCAAAACTGAGCTCTCATTTTTTAAATATTAAGATATGACAATTTGTAGAAGGAAACCAGTCTGACAAGAGACGGCTACTTAATACACCTGATGGTGGCATATTGCTTTTGCTAAGAGTTTAAAAAAACACACAAATCCCCTATTATTCCAACAATCACATAATATATATAATACTATACTCTAGTCTGCATAGTAGGAACACTGATTAGAATTAAAAAGTAGTCCTGACTAGACGACTGATGTATTAGGAAACTTTTAGGTGAAGCTTAAGGAGAAAATACCTGCCAGCCCAGCTCTCTGAAGCTGACGTACAGCTCGTGTCTTCTGCATGCTGTCTTCTGATCGCTGCTGTT